GGTTGGAATGGTTTATACAATCAGAATAGTTAGGAATGGAAAGAACCTTAAGATCATCCAGTTCCAATCCCCAGTTTCAACTGGTTTGGATTGGTTTGAAGTGATTAAAACTGGTTTGCACTGGTTTGAACTGGTTTGCACTGGTTCAGTGATATCCCCCATTGAAACACCCTGCATGTGGCTGCTCCAAAGCAGCTTGGACCCCAAGCCCCATGCCTGGACATGGGGTGCCCCAATGGGACCCAAAACCACCCCCCCCCTTTGACCACTTATGGGGCTCATGGGGTGTGGGGGGGGGGGTTGGCTCCAGATTCACCCCAGCGTTTTGGGGCTGAAAAGGGCGGATTTGGGGGTCAAAAATGGCAAAATCCTTTATGATGGGGCCCACAATGAGCCTCAATGCTGGGGTTTGGGGGGGACCCAACGGCCGCGTCCGTCCCCATCCCGTCCCCCCCCTTTTACCGGTTGAGTTGGTTCGGTCCGGACCAAGTGAATGGGGGGGGGGGGTGCAGGGACTTAGGACCCAAAACCCTCAGAATCCAGCCCAAAAAGCGAGCCCAAGGCACGGGGAGCGTCAATGGGGGCGCAAAAGGGAAGCAGCGCTCGCCCGAACAGGGACTTGAACCCTGGACCCTCAGATTAAAAGTCTGATGCTCTGCCGACTGAGCTATCCGGGCTCCTATTGGAGCCCCATCGCTGCCGCCTCATGGGCTGGGCCTTTGGTGCTGACAGAAACGGGGGAAAACGCCCCAAAAAACGGGCATTTTTGGGGGTGTTTTGGGTGGGAAATAGGGGGAAAAAGGGAGCGGACCGGAGTGAGAACCGCGGCTCTGCGCCGGCCCAACCAATGGGGTGGCGGCGGGGAGGTGGAAGCGTGGCCAATCAGAGGGCAGGGGGAAGGAGCCGGTTAATGGGCTTGAGCTACCGGACAAACGCCTTTAAGGGCGTTTGAAGGGTCCGTGTTTAAGGGAACTGAATGCGGATTCAGTTGGTGCCCGATAAACGCGTTTAAGGGGTGAAAACGGGCGTTTAAACGGTCCGTGTTTAAGGGAACTGAATGCGGATTCAATTGGTGCCCGATAAACGCCTTTAAGGGGTGAAAACGAGCGTTTAAACGGTCCGTGTTTAAGGGAACTGAATGCGGATTCAATCGCTGCCTCCCTGCATAGGCTTAGACGGGGCTAAAGGGTTCTTAAAGCGGTGTTTCAGTGCATGGAGTGGAACAGGATGAAGTGAATGGGGGCATTTCTCCTCCAACGACCACCACGGGACTTAGGGACCAGTCTTGGCATCCACAACAGGGCCTGATCCACATGCAGGAGTAAAGGGGATCGGGTGGGCAGAACGAATGTGCCTATAATAAAGGTATATAGATATATTATATAGATAAATATACGTATTATAGACAGCTGTAAACGGCCCCTTCTCCATGTGTGCGGCAGGCGGAGCGATCCCCACGACCCGGTAGCGGAATAAAGCCTCGTCTGCTTGGAGCTCGGTACCACAACGCTGCCTTTACCCTTCGGGTCCATAGCGACGAGGCGGATCCAAACCGCACTCCGCCATTGGCCAGGAGCCGG